ACAGACAATCCACGTCCGTCATGAGGAATAGTAAGTCGGCATGAATCATGGCGGCAGTAATTGCCGACAGGGTGTCATTGTCGCCGAATTTGATTTCGGAAACAGCCACCGTATCATTCTCATTGACAATGGGAATCACCCCTTGGTCGAGCAATTCGTTGACTGTGTTTTGCGCGTTCAGGTACCTCGTCCTCTTTGGGAAAGCTCCCATTAGCCGAATGGTCTACCAACCAAAGCAACCACTTTTATGACGTGGGTGCGGTACTTGTTTGTAATTTTTATTTCTAACTTACGTCGGCAATGTCATTTTTCGTGAGGAGAATTTGAGCAATCGGCTGGGCCAGGTGCTGGAAGAGGCCATCCCAAAGGCTCATGAGTCTGCACTGGCCAATTGCTGCGAGGGCCTGAATTGGAGGGTTTGCTTGATTAGAGGATCGTCTTTGAGAATTGCAGCTAGGAAGGACTCACCTGTAACTTTGCAAGATGTTTGGGTTTTTTCTCAACATCCATCCTCCTCAGGCCAACGCCGATGGCGCCCGAGGAGACAATGATGACCCGATGGCCATGTTTCCGGAGCTTGACCGCCGTGTCCACAATCAAGGTCAGGATGGGTAGAAGGGGCTCATGAGTCTTTTCGTCGACAATTGAGCTTGTGCCTTTTTACAGATACTGTGTTAGTTTGCTGCTCCCATACAAGTTCTGGGAAGGCGAGTATCGGAGAGGGCAGCCTTACCAAGCTTTATGACAACGGTCAAAACCTTTGACTTTCTCATGCCTGTCAGATTTGATGGAGAGTCAGCCAAATGAAGAAACGAATTAGTTTAAAAGCAAGAATGAGATGAAGGAGAGTAAGAAAATTTGCTACTCCGGCCACAGGCCATTTTAAAGCCTGTTTTCACGCCTTGCCATTGACGCAAGACGAAGGAGCATTGGAGGGTTACGGAACTCCACCGGTCCTCGAGGGAGCCAAAGAGCCGTTCGCAAAGGCACTTGGCATCCTCGGTAGTGGAACACTCGTATGTTCTGAAGTTTCATTCTAATGCTTGTGAATATGGGTTGGCTTACGATCATTTTCATACGCCATCTCTCGCCAATCATTGCCTGGAACTGTCCAGTCCAGGGGGGGTCGTGTAGGTTTGGATGGATGGCAGCAAAAACATCCATGTGAGTAACACCGTCGGCGCTGTGATCAAAACCATCTTGGGCAAGCTAACGGCTTAGACTGGGTCGGTACCTTCTGGGGGTGACAGAAAAATGAGGCGCTAAAGGTCTAGTCCTGCTATATCTTTGGAGCTATGACGAGTATTCTGTTTTTTTTTTTCCAAGATGCAAAATAAGCCAATATACATTTAATACACTCCTTACTACTGATTCATGTAGTTTTTATCATTATATCGTCCTAGTTGCTGAATAACTGTGCGCTACTTATAGTCGCGCATCAATTTGGTGTCTCATTTCTTCTGTCACCACTCGTGTGCTAACCTGTAGGTACATGCTGCCAGAAGCCGTGCCGCCGGTTTCGCGGCGTCCAACACCGACCTCGGGCCCACAATTTGGGCGGTATTACCTCCCCGTTCACTGGACACGAACTCACCGCCCTGCCTCTGGTCTCTGCACTTGGCCGGCAGAATTTGTTCAGCGCTTGAGCAGGGCCTGTACGAAAAAGGAACTAGTCGCGATCGCATACTGGTAGCCTTCGATACCATAAGGTTATTCGCATCTGACAATTCGAACCGGAGCGAGCCCTGAGAAAGTAACAGACCACTTTCCCCCCCTCCGAAGTCCAGCCATATCCTCCTGCGATGGATCAACCAAAGGAAGCAGCAACCTCGGCTCCCGCCGCCGCCGCCCCGACCCCCGTCGTATCAGATGGACCCAAGAAGGAGCTCTTCAACGACCCAGCGCGGACGGGCTTCGACCCGGAGATGAAGTGGTGGATGAACTACTTCCGCATCTTGTCCGGCGGCATGACCAACGAGGGCAAGTTCCACTACCGCGAGTGGCGCTACAAGGTCCACGAGGAGCGGGACTGCAGGCGCTGCGAGGAGAACCGCAACTGGCTCTTCACCCACTCCCCCGTCGTCCGCTTCCTGTCCGAGAAGATTGGCGACCTCAACGGCGACCTCAACAAGGACAACGTCATGTGCCGGCGGTGCCCCGCCCGCCTCACCGAGGACGGCCAGGTGCACAGGCAGTCGGGCGGCTTCAGCCCGGACCACGGCATCCTCCTCTGCGCCAACGAGATCAGGGACAGGAAGCACATGGAGGACACGCTGGCGCATGAGATGGTGCACGCGTGGGACCATCTGAGGTGGAAGGTGGACTGGATGGGCGACAAAGATCTCAAGCATGCCGCCTGCACCGAGGTATGCAACGGTCTGCTTGATTGCATGTGAATGGAAAGAACCCCATGCTAACCGAAAGTTTTTAACCACAGATTCGTGCCTCAATGCTAAGCGGCGAGTGCCGCTGGACTCGAGAAACCTTCACACGGGGCCAATGGAACCTGACGCAGCAGTTTCAACATTGCGTTCGCCGGAGAGCCATACAATCCGTCATGGCCAGGCCCAGATGCAAAGACGAGGAACAAGCTACCAAGGTGGTGAATCAGGTTTGGGAGTCGTGTTTCTCAGATACCAGGCCATTCGATGAGGTGTACAGATAGAACGGGAAACGGAGGCAACAGGGCATGGCAGGCCTCGCACCACACTTGTACTATTATCCAAGCGATTCACCGTCTCAGCTTTGTGTGCCATGAAAATGAAAATTAACGATACCCATGTAATGTCAATAGTCAAAAACATACTCTCTCTTAGTCTGTGTATCTGTTTTCTTGTCGCCTGTATGAAAGAATTACAACAAAAGTTTGAACTCCATTATATGCACAATCCGTATCCCATCCCATGGTGTGTGATGAAAACCAACGCCGATTAAGCCAGCCAATAAATATTGGAAAAAAAGGGAAAACAAAGACAATCAAGTCATTATGCTCATTAAACCGAGTCTAGGTAGACTTCTCTCGGTTGTACACTCTCTCACCCTTGACGCAGTGCTTGAGAATCCAGGGATGCTGCTGTACCTGGTCGAGCGGGATTCGCTTGGCAGGGTCGAGTACGAGGAGCTGTCTGGAGTCAGTATGCGATTGATTGAAGCAAATTAAAATTGTTGAGATAACTAACCTTCTTGATGAGGTCGGCAGCCTCAGCACTGACAAAGGAAGGAATTGACATGTCGGCACGAGCAATCCTGCGCTGTGTCATAATCGGTGTGTCCTCGAAGGGAGCCTCGCCAACCAGGAATTCATATGTCAGGACACCCAAACTCCACAGGTCTACCTTCTCGTCATAGAAGTTCTCGCTGGTTCCGGGCTTGACCATCTCCGGGGGAAGGTAGTCAAGAGTTCCGCACATGGTCTTCCTTCTGTTATTAGGGGCATGAACACTCCAGCCAAAGTCCGAGATCTTGATCTCCCCGTGGATCCCCATGAGGATATTCTCGGGCTTGATGTCCCGATGGATAACGTGCTTTCGGTGGAGGTATCGCAGCGCAGATGCCATCTGGGCAATATACTGAGCCGACTTCCACTCGGGGAAGCGGCTTTCTCTACGGAGGTGCTTGTACAGCTCGCCCTTGCCGGCGAATTCCAGGATGAGGAACACTCTCTTGCTATCGTGGAAGTGCCCATAGAGCTGGAGGATGTTGGGGTGTCGCAGGTTGCTCTGAATCTCAATCTCTCGTCGCACCTGCTTCTCGACACCGCCACCCTGCTGCAGCTCGTTCTTGTGCATGACCTTGAGGGCGCAGATGAAGCCGCTTGTCCGCTCCTTTGCGAGGTATACGCGTCCAAACTTGCCCTTGCCGAGAGGCCGGCCAATCTCGAACATGCCGAGGTGGAACTGCTTGGGGATGCTGGGCTGCTCGATCAGCTGCGAGGCCCTCGAGTGCTCCTCGGCACTTTCTTCCGAGACTCGTGACGAGCTGCTGGTGGGCAGTGGCTTTCGTTGAGGTGAGGGGGGAGGGTTGTTGGCTTTTCGCTGAGCGGCCTGTGAAGGCAATGTCACGGCTGCGACCGTGTTGCTGGTCTGGGACTGCAGCGCAACCTTGACGAGGTTGGCACGGCTGCTGCTGTGCGCCGAATGGGAGGATGAGGTAGTAGTCACAGTCTAAAGCGCAAGGTCAGCTATGTGTTCTTGCTAGATGCATCCATCATCACCCGGAACTTCGCACCTTTGTTTTGGAGTAGGCCCTGGGGGCATCGCCAATTTCGTTCTCGTCGTTGACGGACATGCGCTCGAAGCGCGACTCCAATGTGCGACTAGCCATTGCTAGGATATAGAATGCCGGTGGCCTGCTAAGATTAGGGGGAGAGAGAGCGCAACGAGAAGTTGACCTGAGTTGTCAGAGAGAGAGGGAGCTTCATCAATGGAGCTTGTATTTAAAGGCAGTGAGTCTGTGTGTACATGTCGGATGACAAGCGGGCTGCCCCGGATACCAGCTGAAGCTCCACGTTGCCAGGGCAACAGCAGGGTATAGGCGGTGGCATGCTAACCCCATTGAAGATCTAGATCCCGAACCCTTGTTTTAGGCTCTTGCACAACGAACGGCAATACCTAATGAAAGTTTGCCGGCTAGCAATCTCAGATCAGATGCCCTAGTGTCTTAGAATTAATGCCATCGTCATTCCGACTGTCCGTGATCTGATGTGGGGTTGGCTGTTGAAGGGCGTGTGCGGCTTCGGTGTGATCAGCAGTTCGGTGAGCCAAGGTCAGGGGCCTGAGTGATGTAACGGGCTTCAGCCTCATTGTAGCTCCTCTCTAACAAAACTTCAAGCTTACAACAGCTCGGCGTGGTTCCAGTGTTTGTGAGTGACAAGTACCTGTCCGTTGGCTGTAAGCTCTATTCACGCTCCGATTTGAATTTTTGGATTTTCAATCTCATCACATTTCCTGAGGTTTCAATCCTCGCGAATACTGCTGTGCCCCTCCCCCTCCCTCCCCGCGATGGCTTCCAACAGCGAACCATTGGGGCCACCTCCCCGTCCAGCCGCAATCATAAACCACGTCACGTCGACAAACGAGCCCTTCCCAGATCCCAACGAGCTAGATGCGGCCACCAAGGTCCACACCCAGGGCGACTTCCAGATCGAAGCCCGCAAGCTCCCAATCTCCAAGGCCGGCCCCATCGACGAGCTCAACGAGAGGCTCGGCATCCCCGTCCCCGAGATGATCTTCGGCGACAACCTCATCAAGATCACCCACAAGCCGTCCAACTGGTCCATATCCTTCGACGCCTTCGGCGCCCTCAACCGAGTCGACAAGGAGGGTAAGAAGCTCCTCAAGGTCTCGTACGCCAAGGACTGGGAGCGCACCCGCGAGGACACCACCATGAAGATCAAGAACATCGTGAAGCCCTACGACTGGAGCTACACCACCGACTACAGCGGCACCGAGAGCGAGGGCGGCGGCGGCCAGCGCCTGGCGCCGGGGACCGGCCACTCCATCCCCCTCGCGCTGCTCCAGCGGCGCGACCCCATGCTCTTCTTCGAGGAGGTCATCCTGTACGAGAGCGAGCTCGACGACAACGGCATCTCCATCTACAGCTGCAAGGTGCGCGTGCACGAGAAGCGCATGCTGCTGCTGTGCCGCCTGTTCATGCGGCTGGACGGCGTCGTGGTGCGCATCAACGACACGAGGGTCTACGTCGACTTTGATCAGCATTACGTGATTCGCGAGTATACCGCCAAGGAGGAGCTGTTCCAGTCTTTAAACAGGGTATGTTGATTTTTGAACACTTTCCCGAAGAAAGGATTCTTCTTCGCCAGCAATTCTGACTCTTTTATAGAAGCTAGTTATGAGTGGCAGACTCCCAGACGATGTTACCATCGCTCTTCGCGACCCGAATATCTTGGACCCTCTGCTCACTGTTAAGAAGCAGACGACAGACACCGTCAGGTTCGGCTAGTAGCTCACTTTTGCAGTTACTATCAAGGCTTGGGATTGCTCTTTGGGTATGGTTCCGCGGCGTTTTGAGGATTCGCGCCGTCTTTCAGGATGATCTTCGCAAACCAAGATAACAAGGATGAAATGGAGACCCATTTAGAGGAATGGGCTTAAAAATATGCTTTCTCAGAAATACAATAGGGGACGGTCAAGAAGGATGGGCTTAGCAAATATCACGAATGAATGAATGGCTTCAAGACATGACTATTTTATTGATTTGTTCGAGACATGACTGTGCAAAGCTAATGATAAACTTTGATAAACGAACAAGACTCCAAAAAGACGATGTGGACTATTCATGATACCCCCCAATGCGCGCCAATACTCCTGAACCTCACCGCCGCTAAACAAACAACTTTACGCCAAAATAACAGATTACTGACTTATCGAGCTCCAGCAGGTGAAGATGACTGCGTAGCTTCCTCATATTCCAGTTCCCAGCGGTCCACCTCCTTGAATTTAGCCGCTGCTTGCTTCAGTTCCTCCGTCTTGTTCCCTTCCGGTGTATGTGTGCTCTCAGCCTCGAAGGTATCATCAGGAAGGGGCTGGAACCGGCTCTGCTCATCTCCTTCAGTGTCGTCACCCTCACTCTCATTTTCCTTATCTGATGATCTTCGCGAATAAGTGAGACTGGGGCGAGACTTGTCGGTCTTCTTCTCTGGTTGCTTTGAAGTTGAAGCTCCTCCCCGGGTGGTTTGGCGAGTAGAGCCACCACGAGTGGCGGACCTCGTCACCTTTCTCCTCCGTGGGGCATCAACGTATGATAGCTCATCCTCATCGTGACCAATTCCGGCTGTGTCAATCTCGTCATCGCTCGGCAGATCGACAGGGCTGTGTGCTCTTTGATGCCTCCTCTTAGGTAGCAAGTTCGCCAGGTCCGCTGTTGTGAGCTTAGGCGATGATTGGCGTCTGGCCCGGCCCCGAGTCTTAGCTGTCTTGGTCTCGAAGTTTGGTGAGTGTGTGAGGGAGGGAGGGGAGGAAACGTTGGACATGCTATCGTGGTCAAGAGGATCTGCTGCCGACGGCCGCCGGCGTCTCTTGGCGAGGCCGTGAATATCCGGCCACTCAAAGTCCTCGCCCTCAGAGCCACTGCTCGCAGGTGGTGCAGCATAATCCATTTGGTTGACAGGGGTGACTGGCCGCCCCAGGTCAGGTAGAGGTTGGTCGAAAGATGGGAGTGATGAGAGAGAAGACGAGTCGCTATCGGCATCTTCCTCTGGCTCAGGGTCATCCGTACGCGATACCTTCTCTGGGCGCGCGGTCTCTGCTGGGCCATCACTCTTCCTCTTTTTGGAGCTCCTTGTCGCAACTGGCTCAGAATTCAGCTCTTGTTCTTGCTCGGATTCGGGTTCTTGAAGAGCAGGTCGGGTTCGCCGTCTGTTGTTCAGAGGCGTAGATTCCGCCTCGGGGGCAAAGTCTTCTTCCTCCTCCTCCTCAGTATCGGACCTATTATCCCCTTGTGTGGTGAAAGTCGTGGATGTTGCATCCGGCCGTGGCTTTCGGCTAGTGCCCAAGATACTAGGCTCGCGCGCGCGCCTTCTGAAAGCGCTAATGTTGAAGGTTGAGCTCACGAGCGGCGTGGTACCTCCCCGGCTGCTAGGGCGAATGGGAGGATCGTTGCGTCCGACAATGCTGGATTGACGCGATCTGGATCTCGGTTTGATGTGGCTGAGAGTGAAGGACGAAACCTCGGTGGAGCGCCCTCGCACTGAGCCCTCGTCCTCGAAACTGTCCTCCAAGTCTCCAAACACGTCATCTGCCAGATCGAGGCCCGTTATATCTCTTCGCTGGGCTGGCGTTGCTGCCGAGCTTCGCCGTCCGAGCTCCACCGAGCCCGCGGTGTCGTCGTCTCCGGTGGTGATGAGGTCCTCGTTCGCGAGACGATTCAGGACGGTATCGCGAGTCCGGTTGGCCGCATCGAGAATAGAATCAATATCTGCGCTTGTTCGCGACGCCATGGATCTGGTCGCGCGCGTTCGTCCTCGAGGCGCAGGTTCAATATCTGGTTGGGTTGCTTTCTTAGCTGTGGCGACAGCGCCAGGACGCGACCTCTTTGGCCGAGGCATTGCGTGCAGTCAGATAAAACCAATCGAAATAACTGAACAGAGAATTGGATAAGCTGCGATGGTCCTGGGAGGTTTGAGAAAGCGCCGCGGCAGCTTTTACCAATCGTGAACAGGCAATGCGGGATGCCTCGCGAATTGGAGCTGGGATGATTGTGTGGTGGGAGGAGGGTCAAGTAGAGACGGAACGCGTCGCGCGTTTGTTGGTGCTGTAGGCACTTAGCGTATATTTGGGTGGCAAACAGCCTGTAGCTGGACAAGTGGGTGACAAAGGAAATGGCACACCCAAATGAAGACCCAAATAATCACCTAAATAAACACCGAATTAATATCTAAATATCTAGATAATTAATTATTCTGAATAGAGATTAGAGAATATTTATATATAGACCTGAATGTTCTGTTTCTTTAATCTTTATTTTACTATTTCTATAGCTAGCTATGAAAGATAATAGATCAAGCATGTATTAAGGAAGTGCTTAGGTGTGCTATCTCCAATGTCACCCACTTGCTGGAGTCTGGACTCTCGACAGCCCACTAAGAAAAAAAAAACACCGAACCTTGAAGACACCAAAGAAGGACTAGCGCCAATTAACAAAGACGCCCTGCGTGTGCACCTTAAATCCACTGACATCACTAAGATAGAATCCATGCCCGAGGAAGCGCCTTGTTTGTGTGTCTCCATCCCGGATGGACTCATTCTGGTCAAGATGCCCCGAGAGTGTAGCCAAGCCGCAGCCAAGCCCGGCGGTGTAAGCGGGGTCACGCGGCCAAAGTCTTTGGATGGAATATAATAAATACCCTCACTCTTGCCTATTCGTAGATTCACACTTTCTGGCTCATTACTTGCCAGAAGACGGCTTCCTGACCTGATGAACGAAAGCGTGAGATGACGGCAGATCTGTCAGGCCGACATATCACATATCAAGTGAACACTCAATCATGGAGCCCCAAAGCCTCCCCCCAGCATACGAAGACGCAGGCCACAACAATAGCAACCTGAACACGTCTCAAGATGCCACGGCCGAACCGCCATCTTATGCCTTGGCTGCCGATTCAGACCCGCGAGAGCAGCTCTTCGGCAGCGAACTCCCCGCGCTCGTCCTCAACGGCGTCCAGATCCACCCCGTCGGCCGCCCCGAGCAGCCGCTGTATGAGCTCAGCACGCGCATCTCAGATGGCAACCGTGGGATATGCGGCGTCGAGAAGGTCATGTACCGCCTGACCGACCACTCGGGCGAGGGCAGCGTCCGCGCCCGCACCCGTCACATCTACGACGTCCGCCCGCAAGCCCTCAGCCTCCACGTGTTCGGCCACGTCGACGTCATGGGCAAGCTCGGGCCGAAGAGCACGTACAAGCACAGGGAGCTGGTGACGAGGCGGCCGAACTGGTCGGTGTGCGAGGTCAAGGATGCCCTCCAGGTGAAGGAAGGGTTCCGGATCAAGCTGCTCCAGAAGGAGAAGCCGGTCGAGTGGAAGGACAAGGACGGGCGTGTCGTTGCGCTGGAGACGAACCCGCCCAAACCCAAGGACAGTTCAATAGAGGTCCAGCCCCGTCTGGATATCCAGTCTGTTGCCCTGGATGTCAAGGACTTTGATTTCCTAGTAGCGTGCTGGGTAGGCAGGCTTTGGAGGATCTACCAGATTCACCACGAGGAGCCTTTCAGCTGGGATAAGTGTATGCCATCTCTTCCCCTTTGTTCTGCGATCCCCGGGAATATTATGCTGATTTTCTGCATTATAGTCAAACGAATAAGTGCCCAATCTCCGATAAAAGGAACAGGAATTTATACATGAACAGCTCATAGCGTATCATTCTGTGTCGGCATTGAACATAGCATTTCAGACATACATAGTATAGCCAAATAGATGAACACATCCTCCATTTTAATTCTTTGTATGTCATTGAATTTCCTCTACATTTTGCCCAGCTTAAGAGAGGAGAAGTCTAGTTTCAAATACTTCATACCGCTCGTTCTTCTATACGTATATCTATACAAAGCTTCATATGTGAATTTGCCAGATGTGTTCCGTTTCCATGCCCGCCCTTTGCGCCGGATCGTTACAAATAAGTCGAAGTATCATACATGGTTGTTGTTGGTTGTACAGCTTGAGCATATTCACCGTGCTCACAACTCAGCTAACGCTTTCTCTTCGTCTTCCCCGATTAAATGAGCGCCTGGCCCATGAACATGCTCCTCTTCACCTCAGCAACAACATCCTTCCTGTCATCATTGCCGGCAAGGACGATGCCCCGGCCACGTCGGCCCATGCGCCCAGCACGACCGAGACGGTGAATGAAATCAATGGTCGTATGGGGAACGTCGTACAGAATGACGTGCCGGACGGCCAGGGTGTCAATACCTCTGGAAGCGAGATCCGTCACAACCAGGACCTTGACGTTGTTGAGCTTCCTGGAGCGGCCAACCTTCTCCGGGGCCTTGATTGTAAGAGGTTCAGCCATGGTGAAGACCTCGAGGATTTCCCCAGGACGCTTCTCCGGAGTGTCACGGTGCAGGGCGGTAGCTTGAATGCCCTGACCACGGAGATATTCTGCCAGCTGCTCCGTCTTCTCACGTTCGTTGACAAAGACGAGAACACGACGAACATCAATCTCGTCCTTGACAGGGCCCTCATGATTCTGGGCGTCCTTTCCGAGAGTATAGAGAGCATCGGCGCAGGCCAGGTCCTTGTTGTTCCGGTATGGGTCTCTCGAGACATCGATCACACCGAGCTGCACACGTCTGGGAATGGCATGCAGATTCGGGGTTGTTATGCGGTGCATCTTGGGATAGGTCGTTGCCAGGTAGTTGTTCAACTTTCGTGGGATGGTAGCTGAACAGCAAACAAACTTTTGCAGCGAGGGCATGGCACGCTCAATAATACTGGTAGTGACAGGAGAAAAGCTGCGATCTAGGAGTGAGTCGGCCTCGTCCACAATAAGGTGAGTTACCCGTGACAGAATGTTGGGATCAGAGTCGGCGATGGACGCAAGGAGATGGGGTGTTGAAACGATAACGTCCAATCCCTTGGGGCCGTACAGATTGCGCTGGATCTGCTGAGGCCTGAGATCCGAAGAGAGCATCTCCGTCTTGAACTTGACAACGTGCGAAATCTTCTTGGACACATTCATGACTTGCTGCGCTAGCTCTGCGGTTGGTACTAAGATGACAACCTTTGGCCGAGCCATGGTAGGATGGGGCTCGTCGAAGGGCTTTCCCTTGAAATTCGCAGACCTTTGGTATTCCTTTTCAGCCGCGTATCGCTCATTGTATGCCTTGATATCCGGATCCTCTGCTTCGGCTCGTTTCAGAGCGTCAATCGCAGGCAGCAGGTAAGCCAAGGTCTTCCCTGAACCAGTCTCGGCGGCAAGTAGGAACGATTCCATCTCTGAACTCTTCTTTTGTGGCTGGCCCGGTGCTGGTTGACCCATTATGGCCGGCAGAGCCAGTCTCTGCACAGGTGTCGGCTTAATATCGAAAAGACCTTTGAACAGCTCATCGTACAGAGATTCCTTGATTTTGGGGAGAAGGTCGAACTGGTCGAATGAATCGTAGTCTCCCATGCGGTCCTTGAGGGACATTCTCTTTGTGTAAGACACCGATGCGAGGGCGCGCTGCATCTTGAGTGCCTTGCGCTCATCTCTCGGTCCGTCGTTCTTCTTCCCCTCTGTTGAGCTGGCCGTTCGAGATCGTGGGGCTCGGCGGGTCGGGTCGATGTTGGCGACGGTTCTGTTCATTGCACCAAAAGGACCTTCAACTTGTCGCCTCGGCCTGGAGCTCTTGCCTCCGGTAGGCGGTCGGTAGACTTGATTTGAGAGAACCATGCGCGACGGACGAGGCTTCGACGGCTGCCTCAAGGACACGAACCGTTCACTAATCCAGGGTTGAGAGATTCGAGGCGGCAGCGGCCGCTGCCTTATGGTGATAAGGCATGAGGAGCAAACGGTCTGCGACGGTAAGCGCCGCATGGTGAGTCCGTTTGAATGGGTGTTGAGTTGGTGGTAAGAAGGTGGGCGTGTAGATGAACCAGCTCGTGTGTCTTGAACGGTTTTTTTTTATGGTTCTTCCCCAGATTTGATTGTAGTGGGGCTCCGAAACCTCCTACATATGCATCACCACCACCAAAAGCACTCTATTCCTCCCTAGGATTGTGGCAACTTGTCTGCTATTCTTTCTCCATCTCAAATCAAATGCGTGTTTTTAATACTAAATGGCGTCTTTGGCGGGAAAATGATTTACTATGCCTCTGGAGTGTCCTTTGGCCTGCAATCTTATTTTGCATCTGCCACCAAGTACAAGACCGCCACCGATAAGGGAAGAGAAATTATACATTTGTGAGTTCTAGGGTGAATTGACGCATTTGTACATCCGAGAAGCGCCTGGTATACAAACGATATTTACAATAAACGGGCCGAGAGCCAAGAAAGCTCAAAAGAGACACCGCCAGCCGACTTACTTGCCCGCATACTTCCACCACAAAGACCCCAAAACCATGCTAAGGAGACCGAGAAACGACATCCTATGCATGCCCTTGAGCTCTCCGTTATTTACTAAAAGGGAGTGTGGATGGATTTTATTTACTTACGCAAAATGACCCCTACTACATATCGCAAATTGTAGGTCTCGTCTTGTCGTCGTACGTCTCTGGTCTTGGCCGAGGAGTGTCCCCAGGTTGGACTCGATCTCGACGTCCACATGTCTCGGGATAATGGCATTGCTGTTGGAGATCGGCTGGCCCCGATGAATCGGCTTCTAGCTCAAAAGACCATCTGAGTCTACGGCTAGGCCCGGCTACACAGAATTGTCGATGTCGATAAACATCAGCCTTCAAAGCATAGGGAAACCATATTGACATATGGCCTAGGTGTATTAATTACCTTTTTTTTCTGTTTCATAACTATCCCTTTATCGTCGTCGCTCGGTGGTGTTTGTGAGAGTTCGAAGACCTCGCCAAAGCTTGTCCGTGTAGTCCTCGGTTTTCCTGACTTCGAGCCTAGATTCGAAGCCTGGATCGGCTTGGAATCTTCTTCTGCGATCGAAGTCAAAGACGCAGTAGATCGTTTGTTCCCATAACTGCTATGCGAGAGTCGGCCTTCTCGTAGAGCAGACGACGCTGGGCTCTTAGGGGACAAGGAGCCGCTTATCGCAAAATCGTCACCGTGCTCCATCGCGATTGGGGATGAAGTTTCGATGGAAATCGGTTGGCTGTCAACGCTCGATCGGATCTTGCGAAGGGCGTCCATGACAGAAGATCGATCCGAGGGAAATGATTCGATTGTTGGGTCATTAATATCTACTTCATCCAATGAGTAGTCCTTCGACTCCTTCCGCGGCCGCTGTGGGCTTGGGGTATCATCATGATCAAGTGCATCATCTGCGAGGAACTCATAAGCCCCAAAGCTTTCGTGGGCGAAAAGGGGCATTCTTAATGGCTCTTCTTTGACCCATGTGTAGTCAGATGTCGTCTGTTCAGAGTCCTTGTCCTGCCATACCAACCATGGTTAATGGTACACAGCCCCAAGCGGAGCTAAATGAACACTTACTAGTTGTTCTGCCGTGTCTGCCACTTCCGCAGCGGTTTCGGCAACTATCCTGATGGGTGTAGAAGACCGAGCATCTGCAATTGCCCCAGCTTGCCTCAGAGGCAGCCCTGGAGAATAATTCTTTTCTGGTCTCGACTGGGAAGACTTGGGAACGACTGTTACCCCGAAAAGTGAGTTGGTAAGTGTTTCCATTGATGGGGGTTTAGATTTTCAAGCTCATCAATATCATTCACGTACCGAGAGCTTGATTCTTATCATAAATCCATGGTCCTTGCTCCCCGGACTTGATGTTGTACTGGTACTCGTGGTCGGGAATTACGTTCACTGTCCTGGTGAACGTATATTCTCCATCTTCATCCCGACTGGCATTCATCTCTTGGGGCTTCCAATTTGATTCAGCGAAGGAACCGGCTAGAAATAGCGGCGGAACTGTATTTGCCTGCTTGAAGGTTATGGTGTGTTGGGATCCGGATGATGCCATTTTGACGATGTGGGAAAATGGAACTCGCAGTAAGTCCGCTATTAGGGATTAGGTTAGTTTTACAAGGCTGTGGTCTCTTGCGACAACACGTGCGATAATGTGGCGCTGCTGTTCTTGCCGGAGAGATAGAGCTGACGAGTCCACGGCAGGAAGGCTTTATAGTTCGATGTGCTTTATGAGTACTAGGCAGTGATGTATGCTGAACCGGATATTGAGAGAGCTGCTCGAGGTAGGGCGCCGGTTTGTCAGACAGTTTGCCGTTGAGTCGGTAAGTAGATTGGGATAGAGCAAGAAGAAGAGCGGGAGGTGGTGTAGCAGATGGGACGGTATTTCAACCAAGAATGGCCTGATATCTAGTAGGTATGAATGAGGCTGGCAAGGTATCCTGTCGTTGTATGCACACCCATGGAATAATGTATAAGATATGCAATACTCGAGATCGGGTATTCAATTGACAAACGATGACGAGAGGCAAGAAGGCGAAGGGTGGGGTCGAGTGATGAATGCACTATGCTACGCGTCTTTAAAGGTGCATTGATGTATGTGATGGAGGGATGGTTGCCCGCTAAGGTAGGTAGCTCGGTCGTAGGAGATCGACAGTGCCAACAGCCTGCCCGTTGAACTTGACCGGGAAACTGGGAAGAGGAGGAGAGGGGAAAGCACAAGTAATAAATGGCGATGCGATCGATGGTGGCGACCGGGACGGGGGCGGGACGCAAATGGGCACAACTGAGAGCGATGACGATGGGAAGAGGTGTGGAGACGGGATCAGAGTTTGAGCTGGCGCTGAATCCCAGGTTTGGTGCACAACGGGATGCCAGGTACCGCCCAGGCCGGTGGGAGGATGGGCTCGAGCATATGCGTGTGCAATTGTGCCTGTTTGAAAACAACAGGCGGCGGACGGACCGCTTGATGAGGGGTGGTCTGATCTACTGCCTTCTAGCAAGGGGCTTGGACTCGTCTGGCGTGTAACGATCACCAGGCCAAGACCAATGGGCTGCCCTGGAGGCATAGTCTACGGCGACGGCGCATGAATATGGTCCTACAGACCTTGGAAATGGTGCATGCCTACCTGGCAATGAGGCGGTTGGCAAGGAGGCCATGGCAATGGGGCGATGGCACCAAATGCACGGGCTTAGCCGGAATGCCTCCCCTCCGTCGACCCAGCCTGGACTGTCAGGCAATGCCTGTGGAGGGCTCCAGGGCTGCGAGGTCCATACACCGTTGAAACCAAAGAGGGGTGCTTCAATGCGGCCGTGGGATTGGCCTCAGTTGCCTTGGAGCAACCAGGCGGTATGCAGGTGCATCATGATTGATTGTTGATCTGGTTCCATCATCGAAGCGCGCTGTCTGTCCCACTATTGCTGCGGTTATGGAGCGGAATCCACTTCCCCAGCTTCCATCTGAATTCTGCTAGTCGCGTCCATCAGTTGGGCATTGAAGTGCTCGAGCACCGGAGCTGAGAAAGGTAGGTAGGTAGACAGACCTTGGTCCGCCGGGCCGGTGCAGATTGGCGAAACGAAGCTGCAACTCAATTGGAACAGGGGCGTTGTTTCTACTGCAGAATGCTACTCTCGATGACTTGCAGGAGACATGCCGGTTTGCGCATGGCCATGACGAAGCGACCTTCAGGTACCATGAAGGTGGATCGCTGCTTGATGCCGTACCACTATTTATGAGAGCTTGCACCTGGCATGGCGGGCTGGATGGGCTCTCACTGTAGCCTATATCCAAACGCTGGCACCGCGGGCGACTGGTTCAAGACGGGCGGCCAAGCTTCTCTGTTTCTGGGCATGTATCCAGCATGCAGCTCCTCTCGGTACCTCAATACGACCTCTGCTGTGGTGATGGATGATGTACATCGGGTGGGTAGCTTGGGATGTTCGGCGGGAGCTGGCGGATGGCCCCACTATTGAAAAAGAAGCATCCACATCGATTTCAAGTCAAATTTCTTATCTCAGCATCACAGCTTAATCATCCCCTCACCACTATTTTAAACAAGCCCGCAGGCAACCAACAGAGCAATCATCCCGACGACAACGCCCTCATTAATGACTTTCTTCTTAATTTTTTCTTAATATCTGGAATTCGTGACTCTAAACTAAGTCACCGAAGCTCCTGGTCATGTCGATCCCACCCCAACTCATCCGCGTCAAGCGAAAGCGGGATGAGGATGCCGCCCCCGTCACCTTCCTCCGTGCGTTTTGACAACACCACCACCTCCTGACTGCTCATCCCATTCTCGCCATCTAACCTGTATCCCTTTCAGAGTTCGAAGATGGCACCACCAAGCGGCATCGCACGGGGAGCAATTGGGTCTACCAGCGTCGCGAGGTGACCGCTTCAGCCCCTGGTATTGTCCCACGGCCTCCCCAAGCTGTCATGCCAGTCATCCACGTCTCGAAACCCCAGAATGAGCCTCCAAGTGCCCCCGGAACGGAGTCCTCCCAGAATACTACGCCAAAGCCGAGGGTGATATCTTCGAGGCCTAGTCAGCAACGGTTGAAGCCCGAGCCTCGCCGGTTCCATCTTTCCCGCGCTGTTATGGCGGCGGCAAGCAACAATACCGCAGGGCAAGGAATTTCCAAGAAGAGTCGATCCAGCCCCGCAGTATTCGTCGAGAGGAGACAGAAGATGGCCGAGAAGATCCGCCAGAAGCTCGGGGACGCAAACGGCTCACAAGAGGCATTGCGGGAGAGCAACGGCTCCGAGCCCGAGAAGGCCACAGACACGAAGGAGTCTGTTCGAGTCTACAAGAAGCCGAGGACCCCTCGAGCTCGATCACCCCAGCCGGACACGCCAAGTCGGGCGCCCCTTCCAGATTCCTTTAGTCAACCTCATGGCGTTAACCTGGACCAGAGGACTGCTGATATGAATCAATGGGTACTCAATGAGATTGGTGCAAATCTCCAGGAGATGGAGCGAGAGAGCCAGAAACAACAATCTCCAAAGCTCAAGTTTCGACCCAAGGCACCCGAAAAGCGCTTCGCGGAGCGTCACCCCGAGCAAACCGCAGGCTTGCAAGTGCCTAGCCCCTCAGATACACCCATGACCGATGCTAGTGGCGAGGATGGTATGGAAGAGGATGGAGAAGATGGCGATTGGGTCATTGACGAATACGTGCGTATTCCTGCACATTCGATGGCAATGGACACTTCGCCTGCCGATGTGGGTGTTCTTGTCCTGGAAGGCGAAGAAGATGACTATTGGTTCTTCGGGCCGGAGCGTGAAGACGACGACGACCTCATTGACGAAGATGAAGACGAAAATGGTTAGATCCCCATGATTTTCACATGTTTTTTTAATCTCCAGCTAACTCTCACATCTTACCAGCTGAAAACCACTACACTGCAGATTATCCAGAAGACGAAGTCGAGTCCGACGATGAGTTTGGTCGCAACCCTTACCATTACAGGAACATGAACGCTTCGGATGATGAGGAATTCGACAACGATCGCTACTCAGAGGCCAGTGATGATATGGTACTAGAGGGCGACGACGACGATCTGACAATGGCTCGCATTAAGAACTACATGCGACGGAAGCCCGACATGCCGATGAGGAGTCGACCTTGACCGGTCAGCCACGGTCTTCGGTCGCAACGCTAAAACCTCAGCTCCCTCCCAGTCCATGCAGCTTAATCCTAAAAAGTACCTAATTACATATTAGACCCAGGCAGGGAATGAGGAAAGTTTCATCCTTCAATACGGCAACCTGCATAATGTTCATCGTCACCTACGACAAAAGCAAGGCGGGGCTGGATTCTATTGGCCGCGGATACATAGTCCTCACTTCCACCCAGCACTAGAAGAGGCAAGGGTGGGGGGACGGCGAGGAAATGGAGGGTCGGGGAGCAAGGGATTGCTGTTTGATCAAACGCCCGAGCTGTATGCACGGGGTATGCATTCATTTGCCTACCGCCACACATGTTGCATCAAACCCCACGTCTTTGCAGGTAGCCGAGTGAAAATAAACATGGCTTTCCATTGCTAATAAGCCCTCCGCATGCAGATAAGCTCGGATGGTGCACTCCCTCGTCCCGGATATGTGAAATTAGCGAGTTAGTACCAACAAGCAAATGCAGGCGTCCAGACAATCTACAGCGCTAGCTTCTCAAGGAGGCACATGGCTGCGTGGCCATGACCACGACGAATTGCTAAAATTAAGCATCTGCGACCGGCGGAATGCTGGCGTTGGTTCTTTACTATTGTCCCCGAGGGCAACATGCGGTCTGTGCCTCCTCTTCAATAGCAAATCCTGTCGCAGGACGGGACCAACCTCAACATTTGCAGACAATACCCCCTCCTGCGGCTGAATCTTCAATGAGGCTGGAATGGGGGATCCGCAGATTAAAAAACGCCCTTGGCACACACTATTTTCCCCTTCCGCTCCCCCATTCAGAAGCGAGACAGCCTTTCTTTGCTACCAGCTAGCGCGGGCATGTGCCAAGGAGATTTTCCACCCCGACTCAATAGAACGAGACGAGGCGCCGCTCACAATGGCCCTTCGGTCTTGCGTGGCCCACTAACCCAAGTTCCTATTGATAATACAAGGCAGAGCGAGTTGAGCCAACATGGGGCCTCCGCCATGTGTTGCAGGATGCCCACGCGAAGGGGTTTGTCTGGTTGGTGAAGGTTCCGGGTCACGAGGCGTCTTCCCCCCAATTTCCTTACCTGGGTGTGTGTGCATGTGTTTGTGTTTGTTTCTGCAGATTGTTGTGGCCAACTTCAGCCACCTACAGCATGGGGTAGGGTGTGGTTGATGTTATCCCCCGCGCGTGTAGTCAATACTCCGAGTCATACACACGGGCAGCAGTGATTGTTCGGGCCATTTCTACACAATAAGGATCTACGCATGTAAGATTCCTGAGCAAGGTTGGTACGTGTGTTTCTGTCGCTCCGTTTGTGGTCATGCGATTTTCATTATCAATGCCTAAATACTGCCTCGCCTAGTAGCGAGGCTAATGGTGCATACACGTTGGGGGCATATTAGAGCCGACC